CAAAACAAAAAAAAAGGTTAAAAAAGAGCGGTAAATAACAAAACTACTGAAAGAAGTTATTGTTAGAAATTTCAAAACAAAAAAAAGGTTAAAAAAGAGCGGTAAATAACAAAACTACTGAGAGAAGTTATTGTTAGAAATTTCAATACAAAAAAAAGTTTAAAAAAGAGCGGTAAATAACAAAACTAATAAGAGAAGTTATTGTTAGAAATTTCAAAACAAAAAAAAAGGTTAAAAAAGAGAGGTAAGTAACAAAACTATTAAGAGAAGTAATTGTTAGAAATTTTAAAACAAAAAAAAGTTTAAAAAAGAGCGGTAAATAACAAAACTATTAAGAGAAGTTATTGTTAGAAATTTCAAGAAGCATATACTCCTTGTAGAATGCCAAGTATCAATAATAACTGTTTCAATAAGTATCCTCTGTAAGCGATTGCAAATTTGCTATTGTATCTTCTCCTCTACATTTAATATTATTTTTATCACAAAAGAACGATAGATTCAAAGCAAAAGTATATTTTTCATCAATGCGAGAATGAAATATACGACAACAAATTAATGATGTGGAAAATGAAATAGCGTTTCATTCTAGTTCATTTTCTATGCTTGAATTTAATACATCTCATTTAAATGTCCTCATTTTCATCATACTAACCTAATTATTTTTTTTATTACCTTAAGAAACAAAACAAGTACATTTCTATTTTATAGACTTCAATTATTCTTTTTTTTTCTTCAATACAATGAAGTTCAAAACTTATTTGAAATAAATATTTCTCTTTGATTAAGGGTTTGTTTTCATAACATAATATCTGTAAGGAAAAAAAGTAACGCTAATACTTATATTTACAAGTCGAATATTATTGTACAATAAACAATGGTATAAGAAGAATACAAAGCACATAATTCCAAAAATAATAAATAATGCCGATAAGATCTGCTTTTAATTTAAATTAAGGGGGAAATTATTTAAGTAACGTGTTTTATTCTTTGTTATTGATTAATCTCCTTTTTCTTTAACATTACTAAGAGAAAAATATTTATAGATTTACATACAAAACATTATATATAGCTTGCACATGTTATATTTGGCGATACTATGGATAAACTTTTCTTAGGATTTAATCTTTTTATTATTTCTTTTGAAAAGCCGCTTTTCGCATCGCTGTATTGTTCGTAGCGGAGAATAGGTTATATCTAGAGCCATCTGGAGCCAGAAAAGAAAAAAAAATGGTATTAAAAACAATTTCCTTTCTAGATCTTTTATAAAGTAAAATAAAAACTTTTTCGATTAATTATGAAATATTATTATTTGCCTTTTTTTCAGATATTGGCTTATATTTCAAATACCGGTTTAAACACCAGTAACAGTTTTTTTTCTGCTATTTTCCAGGGAACAAACATTCCTGCTATAAATAATGTGTTTAATATTAACCACAATTTTGTTAAATTTTATGGAACCTAAATTTTTTTATTTGATTTTATTACAGAACTGTTGTCATTGTTAAATATTTTGGAAAATTGTAAACGATTTTGAATAGTCTCAAATATTAGAAAAATTAAGATCTGCAGTACAGCAATTACATTAAAACTACGTCATACTAGAAATTTCCTCTTCTCTTTTTTTTCTTTTAAATCACTTACTAAGAAATCAACGTTTGTTTTTTTAAATTTTTATACTTTCTGATAAGGAACTGATATTTTCTAACTCTGGGAATTCAAAACATCCTTTTTAGTTCTGGAAGAATTTAATAAATTTACAGAATTTGATAATTAATTATAAAGCTAAATACTAAAATAGTATCATTTATACACTACAGCAATTTATATTATTTAAAATCGACAGCATTGTTTCTGAATAGGTTAATTATAAATTAGATTTCAAAAAGGGAAGAATTATCGAACGTTTTTGTCCCTAAAGCGTGCACCGAATATATTTTTATTCAATGTTCTAATGAGAAAACACAGGATATGGGTGGTAAATAAACTTGTATCCGCCCTAGTCATTTATTCTACGTTCTTTTCCGGTAAGAAATGTTTGTTCTTTGTAACCCCTATATGAATAAGTTCAGTTTGCGGAAACGATGTTTAGTCTGTGATTTTAGTAACCTTTAATGATTAGGTTACTATGAGGGTTAAGCATTTCACTTCTATGAATTAATATGCTTTCAGTTAAGAGTTTGAGTTACCGAATTAACATCTCTCTCTCTCTCTCTTTTTTCTTACAAAATAGCTGTCTATCTTATCTTACAAAATAGTCAGTCATGTCATAGTTTACTCTTACCCTTTTTCACCTAAAGTACCTATTTATACCCTTCCGGAGGTGGCTTCGAATGTCCTATTTAGAATGAATTTAACAACAACAAAAAATATTAGTGTAAGAAATACCTAGCATTGGCCTTTAAATTTAACCGTTTAAATGTTTTTATTTTATGTAATTAATAGATTTTGGTTGATATTATTATTAAGTTTCTCAAATTGTAAGTGCTAGGAATAAAATATTAGACTTACTAGTCTTCAACATTTTGAGAAAGAGACATGTTCCTAAATTATTAATATAAGCACTGTAATATACGTATACATATTAAATGTATAATACGGTACTAGGAGAGGAATAAAAAAACAATTCACAACGCTTAATCTTATTTGACTTTCATAAATAAACTAAGGTTGTTGTTTTTTTAATATTTGTTCGCCAAACTATTACCTTTTTGCGAAATACTTTTTCTAGTGACAGCAAACTAAAGACAATATTTTAAAAACAACTAGAATATTCTAAAAAAGAATTTCAGGATTTAAACAGTGCTGTAAACTACTACGCGCTTTGCCATATATTTTATAGAATAGCAAAAAATTAATAAAATGAAAGCCTTCAGAATTTTTGGTAATTTTGCTAATATTTTAAAAGCCTTCCCATGAGAGAAATAGAATAAACTGAGTTTCATGTAAATTTCTGAATCATTTACATGTAGTGGTGTAGGAAATAACTTTAAATCAAATTTACCAAACAAAGGACCATACATTAAATTTAGCTACCACTAGAAGAAATTTTCTCGAAAAGCATATAAAGTTGGCAGCACTGCATTGCGTCTTCCGGTGCAGTGTAGCCAGACTGAGACATGAGAGCGTATTTAAAAACTATCAAATACATAATTGTCTATAATTGTAGTTAAATTTTCATTTTCTTACCACTGAGAATAATCATCCTCAGAAATATTAGAAGTTGGCAATGAATAGTCATATTTGCCATATTTGGTTGTTAATGAATAGTCAGTCATATTTGCTATCACTGGGAAATATATATTTTTAAATTCTGGAATTTTCGCTGTTGTTGAATGGTTATGAAACTTAATAAATACTCTTCTGTTTGAATCTATTGGGTTAGATAAAAGAAAATTTTCAATATAAAAAATATAATAAGCATAGAGTTAAAGGTTAAATCCAGAAAAGGTTTTTTTTTTTTTTAAATTTCATAACATTAAGCGGTTACGGAATTAAAAATATGCCATTTCAATTATTTAGAACTCGGTTTGTAGGTCTGTCAAAACCTTTTAGGAAAACTTCTTCTAGTGGTATCTCTGCTTATGTTTTAATGAGTTCTCCGTATAGTACGCTTTTTGAAAAATATTTTGTATAGAGTAGAAAACATTTAAAAGACGACGCATTAAGAACTATTGGTAATTTTGCCAGCATTTTAAAAGCATCATCTCGAGTTAAGGCTCCTATACTATCAGAGCTGACCTATCAAGCAATATTGGAGCAAAAAAGATCGTAAGTTAGTATTGGTTATGTTATTACAGAAATGCCAACTGCTCCGGACACGCCAAAATAATTTCAGATACGGTAAATCACTACAAAGTAAATTTTGCGAATAGTTGACAATGTTTGCTTGCTTTTAAAAACGTAAAGCATGTAATAAGTATAATAAATATGGTGAATTATAAAAGCCTACGCATTGTTTAGAAATAGTGGTGTATTAAAATCTACTAAATCGAACTTATTAAACCAAGAATTACAATTAATAAACTACCACTTGAAAATATTTATTCGCTGTGCTTATGTTAGCTCTTTGCTCCAACAATAAATATAAAGTCGGCCTGTTTAATTTAGGGGCTCTATCTCGAGTAAGCTGGATAAAAGTTGCGTTGCAAATCAACTTTTACATCATTTATATGTAGTTTTGTGGAAAATAGGATTAAATGAAATAAAAAAAAATTTATTTAAGCATTAACTAACGTAGCTACCACTATAATTTAATACATTTTTAAATAAATAAAAGTTTTTATATGACAAATGAAAACTGACATCCCTGATTTTGGTTTAACCCTTTTGCACCGGACAGGACACGTGCTGTCCATGGGTGAAAGCCCTTATATAGCAAGACGGAAAAGAAAAAAACCTGGTACATAAAGCATTTCATTCCAGCATTTTTTTCGAAAAAAATGAAATATCTGTAACTATCAAGATTTCTTTTATAATTCTGGCATATATATAAAACTGCTTCTTTTCCAAGATAAAGTAGATATTGTTGAAAAATTTAAAAAAGAATAAGTAAACTCCTTAAAAACTAGCTATAACTGAAATGGTTTTACTACCAGCCTTTCCTCTTTTCCGTCTCGCTTTCACCCCTGCTGGTTTTTCGCCGTATTGAAAGGGTTAAAGTTATAATACACACTACTGTGAGTAAATAATTCAAAATTTCATGTGAAGCGCTTCGTTGTTACGACTGTATTGTGGTAGGGCTATTAAAATGTCGCAAAATTACCGAAATGTTGAAAGCTTTAGATTTTAACTGATTACCACTCTATAAAATATTTTGTAAGAAGCGCAGTAGTAGGCAGCACTGCTTTTGTAATCAATATAAATTGCCTCTCTCTAAGACATGTAGGTGATGTTTTAATTTTTCTACTACTTTTTATTTTAGTAAAAGGTTCTGCGATTACTGTATTTTGTTTAGATGAACCAAATGAGTTTTTATTCAAACATTTTTTTTTCTTTTTCAGGCGTTACGCTCAGTCCCTGAACTCCGACAAAAGATGCGCTCCTTCTCAGCATCATTGACTTCACTACTGATATTGGTGAGTTAACTCTCAACTTAATTTGAAATACTTAACCTTACAAATTAAACAGAGATAGAACATCTGCCATAAAAATTTAGAAATTTATAACTATTCAATATAGAAATTGAACTATTCATTAGTTAATACCACAATAGCAGCTGCCATTTTTTTATTTTTTTATTATATTTTTTGACATTCCAATTAAATCTCTTTGTAGAGATATCGATATGTTACCGTGAAGGATCGAAATCAAGAGAAATGCCAACTTTCACCGGTGAATGTCAACATTCACATAGTCGCGTTGGTGAATTTCCGAAACATTTGTTTTATCCGATTTAATATTAATTTATATTATTATATTTATTCGATATCTTAATATCTGCTGAGGATAGATTAGGGGAAACATCAGTGTTCGGAGTTAATCAGTATAGGGTATAGGGGAGAGTGGGGTCAATTGTAACAGGGTACGATTGTAACAGAGCAAAAATTTCGAGTGTCGGGTTATAGATTTGGTTCCTAGGTGGCGCACAAGGTGTATTTAATATATCTACATGTACGCCCCTGCTGTCAGCCATTTTTATGTACTTTTGAAAGAGTTACATCACAAAAGATATTTTGACGCTGCGTAAGTACTTTTTTTGGTATTAGAATATTATATTGTTACAAAGTAATTTTGTTTAAACAAATAAAAATTATTAACCGAATATGTAAGTGGACACCTTAATTAACATTTCAATAAAAAAAATATTAGTTTTGCTAATTAACTAGCATTGTTTTTAACAAATGAAGCTGAAATGGCGTCTTGGGGACAATTGTAACAATAAGTAAAGGGACGATTGTAACAGCTGAAAATAAATAATCTTATGTTTACAAACCATTACTTAACTCTTTAAGAACCACCAATAGTTTCCTATATCATTTATATTATGTTGCATGTGCATTATTTTATTTGTCACCTTTCACAGCATAAATTAAAATTTTTAACCCCTTAAAGTTAAAAGTTTAACCCTTTAGGTCTCTGCTCATTATTATTTTTACTCCTAAAATATCACTACTATTTTGATCAATAAAAAAATATATCACAACTATGATAATATGTATAATTAACTATGTTTTAGTTGAATTTATGAACTGTTACAATTGACCCCGTAAGTGGGGACAATTGTAACAAGTGCACAACTGTCAAAAATTGTTAATAACTAATATAACAACATTTAAATTAAGGTATTTATTTTTTTTCTACTAGAAGAGAGTCTACTTTACTCGTCTATCAATTAATACTAATAATATATTGGATTTTTTTGTTAGTTAAAAATAGTTAAGTAAAAAATTTTACAATTGACCCCACTCTCCCCTACGGTGCAAATGTATATCAGGCAGTGGCACTGAATCTTATAAAAAAAGCATTGATGTAAAGTATACCGGGCAGTGGCACTAAACTCGATCTAGTATGTATTTTGGACATTTACCAAAGCGGACAATGTGATTATCAACATTCACCGGCTGAAGTCAACAACCACCAATTTCGGTTATTCACAGTAACAGATATAACATCTTAAACAAAAATTAATTGTGCAAAAACTTCTTGTTTTAATTATTAAAAAAAAAAAAATGTGCGAGATTTTGTCTTAACACTAGAAGACTCTGTTCCCCGAACGCTGTTATTCGGATTCGTAAAAACATGGAAAAATTTTTAAAATATTATGAATTTAATCTGAAAAATTACAAATTTCCTATTTGTATTCTATTTCTAATTAAAACTTCAAACATACAGCTTTCTTTTTACTTTGAGTTAGAAATGTATTCTGATAGCTACGAACATTAATAAATGAAAATTTTTGTGCATTAATATCCTCTTATCATCCACTTTTTTCCTTTAATATATACACTTGTTCGTAAAAATATCTACCACTTTTTAAACGTGTCCAGGTAAGTACAAAACCTGACTACCACTCACAAACTCCAGAAGTCACATTGCAATTTTTTTATTTTTTATTTCGTGACTTTTGGCTTGGTATAAAAATATGAAAGCTCCGTGAGATTTCACTGTAACGAAATTTTGTTCTTAAGTGTTGTATAGTAAGGATGCAACTAAAAATGTAAAAAGTGGTAGAAACTCAATTTATTTTTATTTATTTATTTATTATCTCTTTAACTGCAGGATTCCCACTACCAGGAAAAAATAAATGAGTGGTAGCTAAGATTTTTCAAGACAACAGAAAAATGCTTATATATTTATCTTTCATTTGTAAATTACGAAATTATTCCCGAAATATTTCCACCCATACATATTTCCTTTAAAATTAATAGTTATTAAGTGCTTAAAACATCTAGATCTATCTCACTTTTGCTACCACCTTAAAAAAATTTCAGACCATGGGAATCCTGTAACTACCACTAGAACTAACATTTCAAGCTCTTCAGGTTTAAAGCAAAATTGATAAATTGTTATCTTTTTTAGTGAGTTGAGCAACAAATTGTTATCTTTAGTGAGTTGAGCAACATAAAAACGAGTGGTATTTCCAGGACGCCTGACTCATGACTATCACAGAGACGCAGACAAAGTGGACTAACTATCACTTACATAAGCTTTTCTCGCCCATTTTACCATTATATGTCTCAAAAATCCGACGAATCAGACAATGCCGCTTCTCGGCGGCGCACTGATATTTGAGCTATGTTCTAATGTTCTTCCTAAAATTTTAATTAGCGAAAATGAAAAAAAAATATGCTAAAAGGAGACGCAAATAAGAATTTCTTTTAATAAAGTTTTGAATAGCAATTATCACCACTTTTTACATTTTTAGTCATCCCTGGCAAAACTGGTATTGAAAGTTGAAGAGACATTTAAAACAATAGATAATTAAAATAATGGTTATAAATAGCTTTAAAATGTTTTCAAAAACTAATCTACAATTTTAAACGTATTATATTCTTGAGGCCATTGTCATTGCAAATGGACCTCACATTCGTTTTTTACACTTTCTAGTCTAAAGTCATTATTATGAAACAAAATTGTTGCCAATTAGAGATTCGAAATATCTCAACAACAAAAAAAGAGTGTTAACAGAAATGGTAGTAAGAAACATTCCTCAGTGAGTGTATATTAAAATTGTTAATCTTTATTTATTTGTTAACAAATAAACACCTAAACAGAAAGGCATTTCTTTAACATATTGCACATTTATCGGAAACATAGTTATATAACAATTCATTTAATGATTATTATTCCGTATTCAAGCAAAACTGTCAAATAACTTCGAAATAATTAGAAGGCCTATGTCATACGATGCTTTGTTACAGTAAAGACGTGTCGAGTCTTTTAAATAGTTGTTAAAATTAACCGAAAATGTTGTATCATAATGTTGTATCATCAAATGTTGTATCAGTTGTCATCTCTTATTGTCTATTTCTTTCTGCTGCATACCCAAAGCTGCCAACTTTCTATTCTTTTTGACAGAAATTATTCTAGTGGTAGCTATGTTTATGTTTTAAAGTATTATTTTTATTCATTAAACTTTATTTTCACCGCAACTACATATAAATATGATTCAAAAATTCATCTGCAACGCCACTTTGTTTCAGCTCTTTTGAGGTAAAGCTTTTAAAATGTTGGCAAAGTTACAAAAATTTTTGAAAGCTTTGGTTTTTAAACGTCTATTATTCTATAAAATACTTTTCAAAAAGTGTAGTAGTTGGTAGGCTTGCATTCCTCTTTGGATTTAAAAAACTAAGGTGCTTAGACTTCAGATATAATAGTAGACTAAAAAACCCGTTTTAGAGATGCAAATTATAACGATTTTAGAGGTTCGTTTTCGTCACAGAAAGAGCTAAACTACAAACAACTATGTCTATGCGAATTATTTAGACAAATAATTAACCCAAAGAGGGTCCCAAGACGGGCTTTAACTTATTCATCCGTGCGGGTTAACATGCAAACAAATCTTTTGGGTAAGCTAGTTTTTGCAATTTAAAAATAAAGTTTTACCTCAAGATTGAGAGACTTAAACAGTAATTCTTTTACTATCAATGGGGAAAAAGCATTTTAGAACACCTTTAATATAAGTAAAAAAATTAATAAACTAGCATGTGACACCTAACATGTGACCCTTTACAATGTTGCAAGGACGCGAAGGTTAAACGATCTTGAAAAGTTTGGCATGCATATGATTGCGCTCATTTTCAAGTTCAAGGGCGGTGGAATAGTCCTTGTTTGGGCTTGGTGCGCCTTAGAGCTGTCTCATTATCTAAACACATAAAGGTCGTTTTTAAGACGCTGGAAAGAAAAAAGAAATGGCTAGTTGGGAAGTCCACAATACGTTCACGAACTTCACCTGATGATTAATGAAATAAAGACACTTATTCATCTAGTCGGCCTTTTTGTAATCATAAATGATGGACAAATCTGCATGAAAGGTGACCAATAACTTGTTTTGACCATAAGGATATTCTTGCAAATAGCGATAACGAGATTTTATGAAAGGTACGAGTTATCTTTGAGATGTGTTCGATTGCCCAAGAGCGGTATGTCTGATTTATGCATTCTTTTGCTTCTTTAATTATTGTCGACTCATTTTAATTCGAACACAAGGATCAATTAAAACATCTTTTAATTATAGTCGAAAATTCACATCAATTAGAGCGTACTTTTCTCTTTGTTTTAACCTAAGAAAAACAAGTAATATATAATGTATCAATTTCCGTTAGGCTTAATTGTATGATTCATGCTTTAATAGTTTATCCAGATTTAAAAACTCATCTTACGACGACTAAATTTTTTATCGTAAATGACCAAACTAGCATAGCTGCCAACAGTTGCTTTTTTTTTAAATAACGTTTTTCTTAGAGGTAGCGCCTTAGTTAACAACAAGATTTTTCTTAAGTATTTAAGAAGGCAGTAAGATTTCTGCAGTGTTTGCCTGCAGTTGTACTTTAAAGCGAGATAGACAATGTTTAACATCCATCCGGGCTCCTAAGAAAAATAACCATTTGCCAGATCTCACCATAACCATCTCACC